CTGGTGGGAATGTGAGATGGGGCAGCCACTGTGCAAAACAGCTTGGCAGTTTTTTTCAAAAAGTTAAACATAGAGGGGCGCCTGGGTGGCTCAGTCATTAGGCGTCTGCCTTCGGCTCAGGTCATGATCCCAGGGTCCTGGGATCGAGCCCCCTCAAAGGGCTTCCTGCTCAGCAGGGAGCCTGCTTCTCCCTCTCCTACTCCCCCTGCTTGTATTCCCTCTCTCACTGTGTCTCTCTCTGTAAACTAAATAAAATCTTTAAAAAAAAAAAAGTTAAACATAGAATTACCATATGATCCAGCAACTCATCTTCTGGATACATACTCAAAAGAAGTGAAAACAAGGACTCAAATGAAATAAATCAGACAGAGAAAGACAAATACTGTAAGATCTCACTTTTGTGTGGAATCCTAAAAAAAAAAAAAAAAAGAAAAACCACAGAAAAAGAGATCAGACCTGTAGTCACCAAAGGCAGGGAGTGGGGGGAGGGGAAATAGGAGACAGGGGCTCAAAAGGCACACACTTCCAGTTATAAGATAAATAAGCACCAGAGATGTAATATAGAACATGACTACAGCCAACACTGCTATATGATATACAGGAAAGTTGTGAAGAGTAGATCTTAAAGTAGATCTTAAGGGCGCCTGGGTGGCTTAGTCAGTTAAGCATCTGCCTTCGGCTCAGGTCAAGACCCCCGGGGCCTGGGGCGCCTGGGTGGCTCAGTCCATTGAGCGCGCGGCTCTTGATTTCTGCTCAAGTCATGATCTCAGGGTCCTGGGATCAAGCCCTACGTTGGGCTCTGTGCTCTGTATGGAGTCTGCTTCTCCCTCTCCCTCTGCTCCTCCCCCTGCTCGTGCTCTCTCTCTCTGTCTCAAATAAATAAATAAAATCTTAAAAAAAAAAAAAAGCCGGGTCCTGGGATTGAGCCCCATATTGGGCTCCTTGCTCAGTGGGGAGTCTGCTTCTCCCTCTCTCTCTGCTCCTGCCCACTGCTCGTGCTCTCTCTCTCACATAAATAATCTTTAAAAAGAGAAAAAAAAAGATCTTAAAAGAGTTCTTAAAAAACTTTTTTTTCTGTTTTTGTATCAACATGAGATTCTAAATGTTAACTAAACTTGTTGTCATCTCATGATATATGTCAGTCATATTACTATGCTGTACACCTTAACCTTATACAGTGCTAGGTCTCAATTATCTCAATAAAACTGGGAGAGAAAAAAAAAGCAGGGACTTGACCAAATGTGTGTATGCCCATGTTCACAGCATTATTCACAGCAGCCAAGAGGTGGAAACAATCCAGCGCCTATCAACAGACAAACAAACAAAACGTGGTATATCCATATGATGGAATACTATTCAGCCTCACAACAGAAGGAAACTGACACATGCTACAACATGGATAAACCTTGGACACATTATGATCAGTGAAAGAAACCAGTCATAAAAAAGATAAATACAAGGGTACCTGTCTGGCTCAGTCTGGCTCAGACCATGCAACTCTTGATCTCAGGGTCGTGAGTTCAAGCCCCATGTTGGGTGTAAAGATTACTTAAATAAACAAACAAACTTTAAAAAAATTTAAAGGGACAAATGCCATATGATCTCACTTATAGGAGATCCCCAAAGTTATCAAATTCATAGAGACAGAAACCAGAATGGCACACAACAGGGGCTGAGGGAAGGGAGCAGGAAGTTAGTGCAATGGAGACAGAGTTTCAGTTTGGGAAGACGGGGAAGTTCTGGAGAGGGATGGTGATGACGGCTGCATACACACTTAATACCACTGAGCTGTACAGTCAAAAATGGTTAAGAAGAGGGGCGCCTGGGTGGCTCAGTCGTTAAGCGTCTGCCTTCGGCCCAGGTCATGATCCCAGGGTCCTGGGATTGAGACCCACGTCGGGCTCTCTGCTTAGCTTAGCGGGAAGCCTGCTCCTCCCTCTCCCACTCCCCCTGCGTGTGTTCCCTCTCTCGCTGTCTCTCTCTGTCAAATAAATAAATAAAATCTTAAAAAAAAATGGTTAAAATGGTAATTTTATGTTATGTGTATCTCACCACAATTTTTTAAAAAAAGTCTCCAAGAAACTTGAATCTCCCTTTACAAGGGGAAGAAATAAAGGAAAGGAACTGTGAAAGAAAGAGAGAGAGAGAAAGACAGAGAGAGAAAGAACAAAAGAACGAAAGAAAGAAAAATAAAATTTAAGAAAGGCTCTCAGAGGTTCCAGTAAAGACTCCCACTGATTGGTCTTAGCACGCTCAAGGCCTCCCTGACCATGGCCTGTCATAGGATGGAACTCCCCAGAAAAAACGTTTGTCCATGAAATGGAATGAAATCAGCATTGGGTCAGTCCCCCCACAGTGAGTCTAGGCAGGGGATGGAGCTCGTCTACACCCGCACAGGTCACTGCAGTCACAACTGCTTAGTCTGCTAGATGATGAAATTAACCCCAACTGGGCGCCTGGGTGGCTCAGTTGGTTAAGCGACTGCCTTCGGCTCAGGTCATGATCCTGGAGTCCCGGGATCAAGTCCCGCATCGGGCTCCCTGCTCAGCAGGGAGTCTGCGTCTCCCTCTGACCCTCTTCCCTCTCGCGCTATCTCTCATTCTCTCTCTCAAATAAATAAATAAAAAATCTTTAAAAAAAAAAAAAGAAATTAACCCCAACTTCCTGCCTGGGCACCCCTTACCCCCACACCCTCCAGCTGCCCCACCACCCCAGCCTCCCTCCTGCGGCCACCCTCTCAGATCTCATGCAGACTTTGGGAATCTCAGACTCTTCCCAGACGGTTCCGCCTGCCCCACTTCCCACAGCACCTCCTGCCCACAGCCCGCTGTGTTTCTCCCTCCCAGTAGTCATCACCCATGGTCACCACCACCACCATGCTCTTAATGCGCCTCCCCTACAGAGATGTGAGGACCTTGGGATGCAGCCTGGCTAGCCTGCCCACCAGGAAGCCCCTAGGCCCAGAACAGCACCTGGCCAGCCTCAGCCCACCAGCAAAACCCAAGTCAGTCTGATAAACAGGACGACGAGGCCACATGCACGTGTCCAGGTAAGGGTTGCAGTGGACCCATCCCCATATCAGAAAGAGGCCAAGGAGCGTAGGGAAATACAAGGGGTGGCCCCTTGTTACTCAGCCCTTACACACTGGGGCTCCACTTGCCAGGGTAGAGACGGTGGTGGAAACAGAACCCCCACCTCTCATCCCTAAGGAACAGCATTCTCCAGTGGAGAGAGGTCTTGGCCCCTCGAGACTGCCCTTATGTGACTCCCCAACAGCCATGAGCTCACATGCAACCTGAAGGCAAAGATGGAGCCACTGCCTCCAGAGCTCTAGACCTGACTCCTCATACTCCACCAGCAGTCACTCCCAGGCCAGGTCAGAAGTCTCTTCAGAAACTCAGCCAGCACTTCCTGCCCCTCCTCTGCTCTGTATGGCCCCTGCCCACTGCCCACTCCACCATCAGCACCTGGTGAGGCTGCTCAAGGGACAGAGAAGGGAGACATACAGAAAGGCCCAGCTCCCTCAACACAGTGGGGTGGGCTTCCTGCAGGAAAGCTGCTAAAGAATCTGGGGAAAGCCATTTCTTTATTTAAAAAAGAAACCCTTTACAATAGAGACAAACGAGTGGATATTTTAAACTTTAAACTAACACACGCATATAAGGTGGGAAGTTGCGGGGGTGGGGGGTGAGGGACAGACCAGAAGGGATGGGATGACAGGACCCTCTGACCTGGGGTGCCCACTACTATCTTAGGTGCTGCTTCAACCCAGGGAAACTGAGGCTCAGGAGGAAGCCTAGGTCTCCAGACTGTCAACTGGAACTAGCTAGAGCCAGTCTACCTGACCCCAACTCGTGGTCCTCAGCATCCTTTGAGGGAGGCACCTCCTTTTAGGACACCTTCCCTACATGTCTAAGATGGACACAGGGACAGCAAGGCAAACAGTGAGGAGCTGACACCCACCGATGGCCCAAGGTAGGAGTGGGGGTCGCTGGAAGGGCACACATTCAGGAAAGATGTCCCCGAGTCAAGCCTTAGTCTCCCCTCTGAAGAACAGTGAGAACACCCACAATAGCACAAAAGCGTGGAGGATTAGCCACAGTCCTCAATCCCAGGCAGCTCATTAACTTCTCAAGGATGGGGTGATCCAAGGCTGCCTGTTCCACAGCACATCTGAAAAAGCTGGGAAGTGATGAGTGGGCACAAGGCCCTCGACCCAACTTTCTCAACGCTTTGGGCAGCATCACCTGCCCTCCATCTAGCTTTGGCTCCTCCAGTATCCAGAGCACCCACTATCCAGAAACTGGTCAACACCAGCACAATAAGGGAAACCTGGCATCCAACTACCCCCGAGCAAAGAACACAATCTAAGAACTGGGGGAAAAAAAAAGGCTGCCGGCTTCCGGAGCTGCCACATCAGTTCAAAACACCTTCCAATTATACTCAGGACGCTTGAAAGAACCACATGACATCCACATCTCGGGACAAAAGCAGCAAACCAGAAAAGTGTGGGCTCTGTAGCCAGCATCAATGAGGCAGCATATACACATCTACCACCCTGCCCCTCGACATTGATGGTGACAATGACGGGCACCCACCACAGACCCACAGCAGCTCTCCGATCAGCTGCCCTCATCTTTCCTCCAGCCCAGAGTCACTCCAGAGGCGGCTGTCAACATCTTTTCAAGCCACGCATAACCCGACTCTCACAAACCCAGCTCAGGCACGACAATAAAGCTGAGTGTGAAGATGTCTCTGCCACATGGCCAGAATCAGGAAAGGTTAGAAATGTCTGCCTCCCCCAACTAGCCACAGATGGCTTTCCAAACACTTCTCACATCTGTCCCCTTGCCCATTCCCCAGTGCCACCCCAGCTCAGGCCCTCCGAGCCTCCTTACCCAGCCACCGCCTCTAGTCCTGCCCTCCCTGACCATCCACCACCATGGGCCAGACCACATCCCTCTGAAGCCTCAATTTCAACATACAAAAGTTGTACCCACTCGGCCACACGCAGCCTCAGGCTCCTCTCTGAGGCACAGGCACACCAGGGATGTCCCTCACTGCCCTTCAGCGCCTCTGCACAGCCCTCAGCACGGGACAGCAGACAAGGCTCCCAGCACACGGGAATCCCCAGGATCGGTGTGGTGCCCCAAACGCATATACTGAGGAATACTGATCCATGAGGGTGCACACTGCAAGGGAGATGCAGTCACTAAAAAGTAAAGCTTATGATTATATTAAATAGCAGAACTAAGACGGTGTCAGGGAGGAAGTAAGACCTAACACCATATGAGCATACCACTGTGATGATGAGGTGCCCAGACACAAGACAGAGGAAGGCGCCCAGGTGTCAACAACAACCATGGCCTGTGCCCATGGGAACAGAAGTCGCTCCTTTCAGGTATTCCAAGTTTTCTATGCTGAGCTATACTCCCTTTATAGTAAACTTCTCAATATGTGTTACTTTTAAATAAGAGTTCAGTGATCCCAGGAACTTCACAAACATGCGCGGTCCACTCCCCCCCAGAAGGGCTGTGGGGAGTCACCAACATGCCCCGCTGACCTGGTGACTCAGTCAAGATCCGCGTCACAACATGGCCAGGGAGGGACCGAGCCCAGAGAATATAATTAGCGTCAGACTCCAGTGCGGCCACTTGGTATGGGCACAGGAGGTCTCTCTCTGAATGGTTCATCCGGACACCAGCTTTTTTATTAAAGAGTAAAATGACAAAACAGCTATACATATTGCTGGAGGTAAGATCTCAGACAACTCCAGGCCGTGCTCGCCACAGACCAAAGGGAAAATCATAAAGTCAGGAAGCAGGGGAGGAAGGCCCTAAAAATGAAGGACCCAGAGAAGGCCAAACCCCAAAGGCACAACAGGGATGGCCAGCCCAGGCCTGCAGGCTGCATCAAGCAAGGCTACTGCCACGGAAGCAGATTTCCCGAAGCCAGTGTCTGCTCCAGGACCAGTTACTCGGAACAGGAGAAGCAGTGTTATTTTCAAAGACTCCCCAGAGATGTCACAATCCGGGTATGATGTCAAAACTACTTCAAGGGTGATGAACTCTGGCCTTGCCGATGAGTCAACAGAGGGTGAGTTTCCGCCAAGCAGCCTGCTGTTTACACACAATCACCACAGTCACCGTGGTGCAGGAACAGCATGCAAGCCGGAAGCCTAGTCAAGGGTCAGAGCAGCTGAGGCAGGGTTTGGCCCCTCACACAGAACCTCACTGGCTGCCTGCAGAAACCTCCATCACTTACCCCACACCCCGGGTCACTCACACGTCCTCCCAAAGCACCTATGAGACATGCACCTTCTAGGAAGGACTCACCCCGCCCAGAACTATCAAGAGCCCACTCTGAAACACATAAGTAAACTGAACCCCTCCAGCCAGAGGGCAGGAGACAGGAAGCCATGCTCCTGACACCAACGGGCCAGGCCGCTCCACCTGGCCCACGCGGCCAGGCCACCTCCCTTCAGAGGGGGCAGAGCTTGGAGCCTGCCGCCTGGTTCTCAGTCCCGTCCCAGCTGGGAATTTCCTTCCAGTGACCTGGCCTCCCAGAGTCTCTTCCCGTTTCCTCACCTGGTGGGGAACCATTCCTCACCACAGGGCTGACGGACAGCTGAACGCGTGCAGCTCGGGCCAGTGCTGGCATGGGGGGTGTGGAGCACAGGTGTTGGGACCCTCTGAGCCCCAAATGCCCCCAATGCACAGGGAAAACAATAAGCTAGCCTTCCTGCCAAGGTCACCAAGAAGATGACAGGAGCCTGGACAAAGGGCTTAGGGGGGCCCAGCCCACAGCCAAGACATCCCCGAGTCTTGGGCAGCCCCAGCTATTCCTGAAGACGGCCGGTCTGAAAAGCAGACAGAGCTGACAAGAAGCTGCCCTGCTCAGGGCGCAGTGGGCGCGCACGCGCGCGCAAGCACACACACACCCGGGAAGGGGAGATGAGCCTACCTCCCGGGGCCTCGCTGTGGGAGAGGAACAGAGGCTAAATTAAGGCTCCTCCTGCCACCAGTGCCCGAGCTGACATCCACACAGCCGCCCCCTTAGCAGCCTGCGGGCAGCCCCTAGCACGGCTCTACAAGTCATGGACTATTTGCTGTAGGCCCCTTCCACCTCCTTTCCCCACACACCCTTCCCCAGGATGGAGCCCCAGCAACTGCCCTCCATGCCCCAACACCCTCCCCAGCCTCTTGTGTCTTAAGGCTTGAAGGCAGCATGCCTGGAACCCCCACCCCTGCCTGCACAGGACCTCTCACCAAGGGGACCTCAGCTCTGGCAGCTCCTAGAAGCAAGTCTCTCAATCAGTACCCTTTCACACCGCCCCGCACCATCACATCACCCCATTTTATTTCCTTCCTTATGCTGACTGCTGACAAGTCTTTGTACCGATTTCTGTACTGCCCTGTTCACAATATGTCTCCTGCCTCCAGAATGTCAGCTCATGACGCTAGGGGCCCATCTTGGTCACTTCTGAACGTCCAGCACTTGAGCAGTAGCCCTATACAAACCAGGTGCTCAATCAGATTCAGGTAGATGCAGGAGCCCAGGCTCCCTGTCTCCCACAGTCTCTATTCAAACCTCCAGGTGGGAACCAGCTCTGGGTACAGGCACCAAATGCTGAGAACACAGCAGGAGGGGGGAGGTGTCAAGACTACACGGATGGCCACATATGTGTCAAAAGAATCCCCACAGCCCTGGAAGAAGAAGGAGCCAGAGCTTAGGCAGAGCAGGGCTTTGGGACCCTCAACAGTCCTGAGAAGGATCCAGAGGTCAGAACGAAGCCAGTCACTGGGACCCTCACAGCCCTGAGAGAAGGACCTGGAGCTGGGAAGGGTTGGGTACGAGGACTCTCATAGTCTTGAGAAGGATCTAGAGCTCAGAAATGGCCAGGCCCTAGGACCCTCCCAGGCCTGAGAAGAATCCATAGCTCAAAGAGGGTAGGGCACTGGGATCTTGCAATCCTGAGAGAAGAAGGACTCAGGGCTGGGGGGGGTCAGATACTGGGACGTGCACAATCCTGAGGACAAGAAGGATCCAGAGCTGGGAGAGGGTTGGGCACTGGGATCCAGACTGGGAGGATGGTCAGACACTGGCCCAAGGCCTCAAGCAGGTAGAACCAAGATTTTTTTTTTTTTTTAAGATTTTATTTATTTATTTGACAGAGAGATAGAGCCGGAGAGCACAAGTGGAGGGAATGGCAGAGGGAGAGGCAGAGGGAGAAGCAGGCTTCCCGCTGAGCAGGGAGCCCGATGCGGGGCTCGATCCCAGGACTCTGGGATCATGACCTGAGCCAAAGGCAGACGCTTAACCATCTGAGCCACCCGGCCACCCCTAGAACCAACATTTAAACCCAGATAGGCTACAATCCTCAGGCTTCTTGAGCCCCTCCCTGGGCCCTCAAGTTTTACTAAACAATATGCTCCTCTCCACCAAGGAGCTTATAAACCAGGAGAGGAGAAGGTCACTCGGCAACAGAGCCCACCAAATCCAAAAATGAAATACCTGGGTGGCTGAGGCAGGCACCCCATGGAAGGACACTTCCTCAGAGTGGCCAGGGAACACTTCTCTGAGCAGGCGCATGACGCTATCTTGGAAGGATGGGTCCACACTTCCTCTCTCTTCTCTCCCAGAAGTAGCCCATCACAGTCAAAAGGGAGATCTATGGGAGCAGCCGCGAGGGGACTCACTCGAGTTTTTTATATTCAAGGAGAAACTACACGAAGCCCAAGTCTAGACGGTGGCAGCTGCGCATATTACCTTCTGCCACATTCCAGGCTGCCACCAGGTCTGCACAAGGGCAGTTCAGACTCCACACCCCTCTGGAGAGAGAAACCATGGGGGACTTTTACTCAGGCGACTCTAAGAGCTAGGATTACAGGCTCTCTTGGGCCACAGAGAAAGTTTCACAGGAACTTCCTCTCCAGTCCTCTGCCACATCTGAATCTGTAAAAGCCTCTTTGCAATTAAAAGTAAAAATAAAAACCCTCTCCACAAGTTGTCATTGGCAAACCATATAACCACAGGGCTACAGAATAGAAAACTCCAGACACTACTGACAGCTATACATAAGAGGTTTTGTTAATAACCCATACACTTCTCTGGTCACACAAACCAGTTCTTCAAGTCACTTTCCCCATGCCCACCACCCAAAAGCACCCAAGGTGCCCTGATTCAATGCCCAACAAGTAATGTTAAATATGAAATTGCCAGGTAACTTAAATGACCAATCAGCTTCTGAAAAAATGCAAATTTGGGTCACCCTCAAAGTTTAGCCCAGCTGGCCAAGATGCCCCAACTGGCTTGGAGAAGTTCTTCAAGGGAGCCCCTCCTGGCTGACATACACAGCTGGGCTCCAAGTGGGATGAGCTGGAGTCTGCAGTTACCTTCACTCTCACATGAGGAAGATCCAGCTTAGTTAGGGGACGTAACCAACACCCTAAATTAAAAATAGCCGTGTGACAGCATGAGGTGGACACACAGGCGGGCCTTCCGGATGACTAGATCAAGTAAGGGCAGCATGGCAGGGAAGGCGGGGCTCCTAAGTGACCAGGTACCAAGTTCACCTTATTTACATGACTCATGAGCTCTTCCCCAGCTGTTTCTAGGAAAGCCTGCCTTCCTGCAGGACAAGTCAGAATTGCCTAGGGAAAAGACTCCAGACTGGAATTTCACAAGGAAGGGAGACTTGAGCTGGACACAGTAGGTCATTCCCCCCAGCCCCCCGCCCCAACTCCTCACCTGCAAGGACACCTTAGCCTCATCTTGAGGAATCCTTTTGACAAGGGGAGAACTTGTTCTAAAAAAAAAACGACCCCTTCTACGAATGGGAAACTGTGACCCAGGACAGGAAGGAAACTGCCCAAAAAAGTGGGAAGAAGCACGGGAAGGGTGGGCACCAGGAAAGTGGTGGGAACGTAACAGGGGAAGAAATTCCCAGCTTAGCTAATGGTGCTGAACAAGTCTGGGGCAGGAAGAAAGCCACATTCCTTCCTAGTTAGTCTTTCTCCTCACCCGCCCTCAGCCCCCCCATTCCCAGTATACACAAACACACACACACAGGGAGCAAAGCCTCCCTGAGCAGGACACCAGACCCCTCCCCAGTCACTTCATGACTATAAAGCCCCCACTTTCCAGGTAACAAGGAAAAGAGCTCCGAAACCACTTCCCCTCAGGTCCTGACCACTCTGGGCACCTGCAACTTCTGTCCCGACAGAGACGGCACCACGACAAACGGAAATGGGAAGAAGCAGGTTTCTGACCAGGGCCCCAGATGTGCCTCCAAATCAAGCCTGAAAGAAGGTGCACAGCAGCCTCCCCCCAACCCACGCACCCTGAGCCAGGTGGCAGAAGTGAAACGCCTCTAACTTCCCCAGATGGGTCCAAATCAGCCCCTGAGAAGTTTGAGAGTCAGCAGCCAGGTGCGGTGGCCAAAGCTCCCTCCCAGGTGCCCACTAAGAGCTCCCCCAGCCTGGGAAAGGCACCATACCTGCGACCCCCCACATGCACAGCTTCTCCCCCAATCAAAACACTCCTTTCTCCAAAAATGTTCAGTGAGACAGGGTCACCTGCGAGGGGCAGGGGAGTTGGAAACAAGCTGTCAGTTTCTGACCAAACTCCCCCTGTCACGAACCAAGAAGTCAAGTGAGCCCAATTCCAAGGGCTTCATTGGTGTTACTGCCGGCCCTCAAGTGCAGACTCAGCCTCCCCACACAGACGGAACAGGTTCTCCACAGGTGCCCCAACAGCGGTGCCCCACTGACCCACCCTGCCTGGGACCCGGACGGAAAAGCCTCAAGCCTCCCCAACCCCCTCCCCCGTCCCCCAGCCAGGTGAACAGCTCAGTTCCTGCTCAGGGGCTGGGTGAGCCGGGAAAGGCTCCGAACGCCTCCAGGTGCCGACTCAGTCGCCCCCCCCCCCCCCGCGGACCAGATGCGTGAGCTCGGGGCCCCTCGGCCGCCCCGGGCCGCCCGCCAGTGTCACCTCCCAGAGCCGTGAAGGAACGCGGTTCCCCGCGCTCTCAACCGGACAAGTGCCCACCCCGCGACCTGTCGGCTCAGGGACCCACGAGCAGCACCCCGGTCGCCGGACCCCGCGCGCCCAGGGCAGGACGCCTCCGCGAGGGGCGCATGAGGCCGGCCTGCGCCTCGACGTCACCGACGGTCGCGCCGGACCCCGCGCCGCTCACCTGGCTGGCTCGGTAGCTCTCGAAGGCCCTCAGGGCACTGTCGGTGAGCTTCACGTGGAACACGGACACCTTG